TACTTTTATGAGTTTGCTTTTTATATGAATTTGGGAAATGGTGTTGGAGGATCTTACTTTACTTGTCTTATAGGCATGATGTTGCTGCCCCTCTTAGCCCCCACTCCCAAGAAGTTTCCTGCTATATTGATTATAACATATCCATGCCAGCGCAGAACCTCTGGAGAGTGGTGAGTGGTCAAAGGGAAGGGAGGAGCTCATCACGTTCCAGCAGAAACAGCTGAGACAACACGATGATCAAAAGACATCTTTCTGTTGTAGGAAATTGTAAATCGGGAATCTGACACAGATGTGTGGAAGACTATTATGTCAGAAGTGAGGTTTGTTCACGTGAACACCTCTGCTGTGCTAAAGGCAAGTGGATTTATGTGTATTTGCCTGTAGCTTTTGCTCCATGCAGTTCTTCTAATCACATAAACTACTAATCTCTCTGCACCAAAATGCCTAAACCACTAAAATAAATAACCAAATAAGTAAATAAAAGGAAACAGTAAACTTGCCTGATGTGATAAAAGAGCAGCATGTGTTTCAGGTGGTCATACTCATACTTCATTCCTTTTCAACCTGCAGAGCTGTCCTGCTTATCAGGAGGTTGTGACACTGTGCACAACTGGGGCTCAGAAATCGATGCTGTCTGTGTGAGGTATGTGACAGCAGCTGGAATAGTCAAGGATCTCTTCACAGAGTTTGACAGAATCACTGACTTCATGGCTGTAGCATTTGTTGAGACAGTTGCATGATGACTCTTCACATACTCTCTGGCAGTCCCTTGCTGACATCCGCTGCTCAGGCAGGGCCTTGGAACCTCCATCCTGAAGTTCAGATTGGCAGGACTGTAAGTTTACGGTCATCTTTCACTTTCAGCTCAGTGGAGCGTCTTTACCCGAGTGGGGATACCGGCAGCTGGAGGTGGTTGGAGAGAAGCTGTCCAAAGGCTACCACCAGAGCATGGTGTGGAATGTGGAAGAGCACAGATATGGGAAAAGTACGTCTCAGCCATGTTGAAGCAGATTTCTGTGACTGGGGGACACTTGATGTTGATGGGAAGGTGGTATCATGTGTATTGTGTTCAGCAGGCTCTGGCTCTAACACGATCTGTCAGAGTCCTTATGAATCCCTGTAGAGTGCTCTTGCAGCTGGGCTGTGTATTGGAGAAGGGCCCCCAGGAGTGTGAGGAGCCAGGGGTCTATCGTATGTGCCCTCTCTCCCCTTTCTAGCTTTCTGCCTGTTGGGTGGTTATTTCTGAGCTATGCTGCTTTCTTCCAGGCCAAGAGCAAAAAGAGAGGGAAGTGGAACTCCACTCTCCCACGCAGATGGACATAAGTAAAAACCTCAGCTTCATGGCAAAGTTCACGGAATTGCAGGTGAGTGTCTTGTCAGTCGTCCCTTCTGCTGCAGAGCAGGAACCTGAGCACTGCTGCACACTCTGAGCCCGAGGGTTCATTGGTTATTCCTTGCCCATAGAGTAGTTTGGCTGCCTCACTGAAAAAAGATATTTCTCAATGCCCTTAGAAGGACATTAGAGACCGACGCTAATCAGTAACAAATACCCAAGTGATTGTGTAAAAAAAGAAGGGGGAGGAAGATTGGTTGGGCACCCAGAAGCTGAAACTGAACTGTAATGTGTTCTATGTGCAGTCAGTAGTGTTGATGCCTCTTACTGACACTGTAGGAATTCACAAAGGAAAGTGCATTATATAAGAACAAAATAAAACTGTTGTGTTCATCAGTATCCTGTATGAGATATGCAGAATCTTTCTCCACTCCCAGGTTCAGAACGTAACGTCTTACATCTGGAGCCGTTCCCCCATGCCTGCTATCCCACTCATTGTTCCAGTGCTGAAAGCCTTCTGTTTACTTTTTTTGTAGTGGAAAATACTCACATTAAAAAATGAAGACACAGAACATAAGTACAGCTCCTCTGCTCTTGACTGGATCACACTGGACACAAATATTGCCTACTGGCTCCACCCGACCTCTGGTGTAAGTACAAGAGGTAGAAGTAGACATGAACCTGGTGAAAAAGCAGAGCAGTTCAGATGTGAGCTCTGGGAGAGCAGGGCTGCAGTTCCAGCCAAGGAGCTGCTCCGGGAAGGACTCTTCCTGTATTAAGGATATATTTTCCCTGGGGTTTTTTTTTGGCATGCGATACATCTTTGACAGTAGTTGCTTTTAATTAAATCATGTTGTCTTGCACTTTTTTTCTTTTATAAGGGGAACTGCAGTTTAATAGTTTCCATTATTGATTCCATTTAGAAGATGAGTTCATCTCCAATAGCATCTTTTAAATGCCTTACATTATAAAAGGGTATTAAAGCAGCAAAGTTTATCGAAGAGCTTTGTTCCAGGAAAGATCAGGTTACTAGCCAGGCACGTTCTAACATTTAGTTTAGCAAGTATGTGTAGGTAAAATTTAAACTAAAGAACTGCAGCGTTTTCCTGCTTATGGCTTAGAGCATTTCTATCCTTCAGGCCCAGATCCACCTCCTTGGGAATGTTGTCACCTGGGCTTCAGCTAACGTTGCTGCTCTTGTCTACATGTGTCTGTCCCTGTGGTACTTGATACGACGAAGGAGAAAGATTTACGACGTGCCTGAAGGTCTGATTCCACTGTGTATGTGTGTGTCGAGGTTGGGGGCGTTGTAGCTTTGTCTGCTGCACTTTAATGGCCCTAAAGCCACATTTTTGCAACTATGTGCTTGGCTATGCAAGCACTTTTTCCTGTCTCCAATCCTGGAATTTTTATTAGGGACAAACATCTAGAGTAGCCCAGGAAGAGACTGATTATGGTTATTGCAATATGACCGTCATTTCAGGAGACAATATAGTAGCCAGCATATTTATTTGAGTCACTTCCTAGATGCAAGCAGCATCCAGGCCTCAGATTTAGATTCTACTGAGCCCTTTTGTGATGATTTAAAAGATACTGGCTGTGTGGGGAGGGGTTTGGTGTAGATGTGATCATTCTGACTGAGGTACCATCTATCTCCTCTATGTGGCAGGGCAGTTTTGTGCTGCCCTTTCTGGACGTGCATTTTGTTGTCATGTTGGCCATAATCTGTCTTGATGGGTACTTCATCAAAGTGTGACAAAATTGAACCATTTCCCTCAGTTGAGCGTGGTTGAGTTACAGGTTTTATTAGAGAGTGGTGAAAAAAACCCAAACAAACCATGACAGTAGTCAACCTTTAGAGATTTTAAGTTTCCAGGGTCTGTGCTTCGAGCTATCTCCCGTCTCCTGCAGATGCGTGGCAGCTCTGGGTATCAGCTGGGGGGATCTGTGTTGGAGGCTGGGCTGTGAATTACCTGCCCTTCTTCCTGATGGAGAAAACACTTTTCCTGTACCACTACCTGCCTGCCCTCACATTCCAGATTCTCCTGATTCCCATCGTATTACAGCACCTCAACGACCACCTCTGCAGGTATTGGGTTTTAACACAGATAGACAAGAGAAGTGACACAGTTCTTTTCTCCAGGGTTGTCACCCTGGCAAGCTGCTGCAGGGAAAGCAGTGGTTGCTCCAGCAGTGGCCATACTTTGTCATTTGCCTTTAGAGAAGACAGGCCATATTTAGGTCTTCCTTTTGGATGAAGTGTTTGGTCAACCTTGGCGTAACTTGACTGCTCTTCCCCTCTCTCATCCCAGATCTCTGCTTCTCAAGAGCATGTTCGGGGCACTGATCGTAGCCTGGTTCTCTTCCGTTTACTTTGTCTATTGCACGTTCAGCCCTGTGACCTATGGCGAGCCCTCGCTGTCTGTTACTGAACTCAAGGACTTGCGCTGGAAGGACAGCTGGAACATCCTTATCCGAAAACAGTAACAGTCACAGTCTTGTTACAGGCAAATGGGAACACCTTTTATGTAAAGCCAAGAATTTATTGTTAGTATAATTGAAATCTTAACAGTCTGATCAAATAATTGATAGTAGTCCAGATCTAATTATTACAGGAAAAGAAAATAAAAGAATATTGTTACAGAAAAGGTCTCAACAGTCATATAGCTGTTATGAGCACAATTCCCAGTGTCTACCCCTGTTACATTCACCCTTCCACTGCCCCTCGGGGTCTGAAGGTTGGTGACTTCAGTCAGCAGCATCCCAAGTCCTCTGCTGGGAGAAGCCTGCTGCGAGGGTTTCTTCCTCCTCTTTCCTGGGAGTATGATGTTGATGGTTTCCTCCTTGTTGAACTTGGAGCTATTTTATATGTTTCCTAGCACCTTGGTCTGCAATGCCACCTTACAAGTTACTAGAAATGGATACTCTTCAACATCTTGGATACTTTTCTCTCTTTTCTTTGTTACTCTTAAAAACTGGGGTTTCCCAGCTCTAAAGCTTACACATCCTCAACTATCAGTAATTGGCCCTGAAGTCTTCAGCATCGTCCCATGACTGTATGCCTCAACAACGCATTGTATGCCCTCACTTCCAGTGCTCAGCTATCATCCCTATTTCATCACATCAGAGCATTAAGCTAAGTTTATAAATTGTTCATTCTGCATAGAATAATGACTTGTTACTTATTATCTGTGTATAATGATTTGGCGTAACTATAACTTTTATGAAGCTAAGCAAAAATAAAACAAGTGGACATGAAAAAAAAATAGCTGTTACAGCTGAACAAGCTAAAACAAAACTTCAGGCAGGCCAAGAAGTTAGCCAAAGCCAGAAGAGTCCTTTGGCCTCGCGGTGTTCTGTGAAGCCTGTGGCCTGTTACCAGCAATGGCAGCGTTGTGTTTACTGGGCTGCAGGGTTACAGCTCAGACCTCACAGGAGGAGGAACTCTGACCAAGGTAGAACTGATCATGCTGACAAGGAAACCCACTCTAACTTCTACACATGGGTTCAGGGTCAGAACATTGCGGGTAACTCAGCCCAGGCCCTGGCCTGCTCCAACAGAGGAATTCACAGGGTGGAAGAAGGTGTAAGGGAAGGACTAGGATCACTCAGTGGGGAATCTGGAATAGCTCTAGAAGTGTTCCACAAGGGTTACAGTACCTATTGGTTTTTTTCATGTGGCTGCAGCAGCAGGATCTTGCAATACAGCTCAAAGCTGACCAAGAACAACAGTCCTAGGCAAACCAGAGCGCTTTTTACTGGAGTTCCTTACTGCTCTAACAAACACTATTCAAGGCTGCTTTGAGCTCCACCCACCCCCAGAGGAAGGCATGATCAAACACTACAGTTATTCAAAGTAGGTTTTAGTGACTATTTTGCTCCTACTTAAATCAGCCCCGATAGCTAATGCTTCAGTGCAGTAGCTCATACTCTAAGTCCGTCACCCTGAGCTAACCAGCACCCAGCAACAGTTAGGAAACCAACTGCTTTCTCCTCAGCATTACAGCGATGGACCACCAATAGATAACAGACCTTTACCCATTTCCAGTGTTGAAGAGGCTACTACAGGGATGACAGCAGACTGCATTTTTAAAAGTTTTTTTCCCCTCTAAAGCTTCAGCTGTTACAGAACTAAACCTAACAATTCTGAGTTAAGGGGAGAAACAACTGTTGAGTATAAGCGCAGCTCCAGAATTGTTCCCTTCTGTACCTCTGTGCTGCTGTAGTGCAAGTAGCACAAATACCTTTTACATAAAATGGTCATTTCTGCTCAGTTTGTTCATTTGTTTATTAGCCAAAGTAACACACCCACAACCAACACAGCCAGACCCTGGTTTTAGAAAACTAGCAAATATTAAAAAGTTCCTGTTAATCATATTTCCACCCATGTCCGTTCTTAAAATTACACCACAGGTCCAGACTCAAGACGGATACCACAAGGACATTTTTCAAAGGCCCAACCAGCACTTCATTTCAGAATTTTTTTCCAGAAACTTCACACTGCTGCAGTATCACTTATCTGGGGTAAGCAACAGAAACTGGGATGTCACTGTTTATACTTCTAGCCTCTTATCTGCTCTTTTCAGAAAACCAGACATTGAGATTAAACTGCCTGAGTGCAATGGCGAGCGCTCTGACCCTGTCTGAGGGTGGAAGCATGTCCAGAGCACGGCTTGTGCCATCAGAAGGAGGGTCTGGCAGTTCACAGCTTTCCCCCTTGCTGATCTTACCACCCAGCTCTGGCAGTGGACGGATTCTGCCCAGCAGAATCTGCAACCAGCAGTACAGAAATGCCCTAAGAGACACTAATACTGAAAGGTTCCTTGAGCAACTCAATCCAGTTGGAGCTCACACATTCAGTAACTGTGGTAAAGGAGACTATTTGGATACAAAAAAAATAATCGTACAGCATAGCAAAGTTCGGGACCTTAGAAAGGAATAAATTAGGAACCTGAATCCCACTTGTTGGGCCTGTCCCCACCAAGGAACTGCAAGTTCCCATTTGTCCCAGATAGTCTCTGTTTCATCTCTAGCTCAGGGGAGAGATTCCTCCACAGGTCAATCCTTCTGCCCTCACCTACCACTACAGGTAAAAAGGGGGCTGGCCAGCACTGCCAGAGCTCAAAGTGCCAGTGAGGTGGGGAAGAGCAAGGACTGCACTTGCTTGTTAAAATTAACAGGGTGTGAGCTAGTCTTGGATAAACAGATTATTTTTTCTTTGAAAGAAACAGACAGATAATTTTCCTGCTAAGGAAGATCATCATCAGGGAAATGGGGTATCTTGCTAATCACCTGGTAGTGCTTAATTTTCAAGAGAGATTTCAGCATTAGATCTCATTTTGAAAATTAAAAAAAAAAAGCAAGTAGCACTGCCTTTAACCAGTTCATCAAGTAACATCATAACTCCAGACATCGCAGGGAGAGAAGGGAGGGGTTCTGGAGGGGAGAGGGGCAGTAGGCCAACTCCTTCCTCTGCCCTCTGCGGGAAGTTTCACACCAGCATCCCCTCCGCTGCTAGGATGATTTAAAGGGCACTTCACCAACCATTCTGTCGAAGTCCTTTCCCAAAGTTGTTTCAGTGTCGGTCTGGACCAGAGGCAGATCCTTCAGACAGGCAGGTTAGTGCGGGCGGCTGCTGGACTCGAGGTGGGAGCGTTTGCCGGCCGCTAGCACGCTGCTGCTCTCCGTCTGCTCGGGGAACGGGCGCTTGTAGGTCCGACCGTGGCCGTTCACTGCCCCTCGCTGCCACTTGCAGATGTCTCCGTTTAGGATGTCCTGAATGTGCTGCACTATGAGGTTGATAGCAACTGCAGAGAGGAACGGGAAATGGAGGACACGGAGGCTTTCTTGGCCCAGCTATCTAGAAAATGTGGAGCATCCAGCCCTGTTCAACTCCACTTTTAACAACAAGCCCTTAAATGAAGCTCTGCCTGCCCTCTGCAGTGAGGTCAGCCCTCAGCAGAAACCAGCAACTGCAGCACCAGCTTTAACACTGGTGTCCTGCTCTGCCTCTCCCATCCCACGTCACTTTTCCAGCCCTCCACAGGCTCAGGGTCATGTGGGTCAGGCTCTGAGCAGCTCCCTCCAGCAAAACACCTTTCCTTAGAGACAAGTGAACAAGGCTGTGGTGTGCCACCTGCTCCCTGCCCAGCCCCAAAGGTGCTCTCCCCAAGAGAAATCAGACCGAGAACCCCACTCCCTTTTACCCATGTTGTCAACTCCTCGGGGGATGATCACATCTGCATACTTCTTTGTCTGCAAAACAGCAACAGTGGTGGAGACTGTTAATGGGAGAAGCCAGCTTTGTTCTAGGAAGAAGCTACCAAGCATCAGAAAGCTGGGGGCAAAGATGAAGGGGTTTCTGTGCTCTGGGGCTCCAAGTTAAAGCTCTCGGTCCTGGCAACACCGAAATGAATGGAGGAGTCATGCTGGCTAACGAGCACTGGATTTGAGGTCAGGGATTGTTCTCACTGTCCCTTTGCAGGCAGTCACCAGGTAGAGGCAGTAGGTTAAGCGCGGAGTACTCGGTTTTACACTTCTGAAGCATACACAAATGGGTCACCCGCTTGGAGGCCAAGGTCTGTTTGCTGAGAGCTGGCTCTAATCAGCATTTCACAAGCCATTGCTACATCTCTGCCTAGAGCCAAGGTACCCAGCGTGCGTGTGAAACTCCTTCCTGTCTCTGATGACATGTTATTGATTTTTACCATCACAGAGCCCCTGCTTTTTTCTCCCCCTCTACTTATAAAAAGGCTGGCAAATTCAGCATTTCTAATGTGTACTTTTACAATCCCAGAATTGCTTTGATCTAGAGCAAGAGGTGCCTGAGCGAGCCTTTGCCATCTTATTTAATCCACACACAGGATTTTGTTCTCAAAGGGGTTTTTGCAAATTAATTTGATGACGTGAGCACCTAAATTGGCCCTGCATTACATGGCATAGCAAGCAGACGCTATAACGGTCTGCCCCAGGTTTTCACCAGTGTTCCCTGCTAAGAGAGGGTCTGTTGGAAACCAAAGCTCTTCTCTCTTCCTGCAAGACTTAAAAATAAATGCAGAGTGGCAGTGTTTCAAAGGCACCCATGCTAAAGTAGCCGTGGCAGCGAGCAGTGAGAAAACATGTGCAGCCTCTAGGGATTGCCACGGTGCTTTGCAACACAGGGGACCAACCACTTTAGTTCCTTAAACAAGAAGCTCCTAATGGTTTAAGAGATAGGGTGTGGGATCATGAAATACAAATATCAAAAGCCACCACTGCTGCATCCGCAGTGCAGGTAACCCCCCAGGCAACCCTGCTCCTTCTCTCCCCCCACGAGCAAAACCACAAATGAAATTACTGAAACATTTATACCGGTAAGCAGAATTCCTCAAAGGCAGGTTTGACGAAGGTGGTGTACTGGGTGAGGATTTGCTCTAGGTCCCTCCCACGTTTCATATCGCGCAGAACTGGGATGGGAAGATAAAACCCACAAGATTTACCAGGCAGCCGAGGACAGAAAAGGAACGCGGGCAGGCTGACGCTGAGCGTTACCTCTGCGGGACAGCCGGACGTCAGAATCAGTGTCCACAAAGAGCCGGAGATGGAACATGTCCCGAATGTCTTGGTTGTAGAAAACCAGGATCCCCTCAAAGAGAACAACGTCAGCAGGATAGACCACAGTCGTCTCTGCCAGCCTGCCAGGGAAAAACACCCGGAGCACGTTGTGAAATGGGTCTCACACCACAGCCAAGCAGTGTGTCCCCAGGCCCAGCTGGGGACATCCACATCCTCACACGCCCCACACACAAACCCAAAACCTACCTAGAATGTGTCACAAAGTCATAGGTTGGTACCTCAACTGTTTTCCCCTCAACAATATTTTTCAGGGTTGTATGCATCAAATCGTTATCAAAAGCATCTGCAAGAGGAAGGTTTAAAGGGGAAGAATTTCAGATGCTGCTACATCAGATGTTCTGCTCTGATTTTCTAGACCCGAAGGAAAACCACTCTGTCCAGTGTTACACCAGGGAAAAAGGAATTTACAGGATATCCCTTCTTATCAGCAGCAATCCAACGCTCCCTGCCCAAGCCAGAGCTGCTGCACTTGGTTACAGAGATAAGGAAGAGGGAATTTGCTGCTTATAAGCAACTACAACACAATGAAATTAGGAACCCAAATGCGAAGCGGGTAATTGTGTAATTTTACAAAACCACTTGCTAATTGTATAATTTTGCACAACTCTTGGTCTGTTCCCCAAGAGTAATTTAGAAAAACCTCAGACATCTTTCACGCTTTTCAAGAGCGTTACCCACGCTGGGTAACCCACAGCAGGCTCCAGCCCTCAGCCTCGGGGGGATCGCTGTCCCGTTGGCAGCCCAGGGCGCTGCCCCGCCGCGTTCTGTTTACACGGACAAGCAGTACCAGGTTTGGGGAGCGGGGCCGCTTCTCTCTGCGCCTCCCCCAGCCGGGCGTGAGGCAGAGCCCCGCGCAAGGCGGGATGCTCCGACTCTCCAGCATCGCAGCTTTCACGATCGCGACTGCGGACACGTGGAAGCCAAACGGCTGTTCTGGGTGGGGGAATGAGCACTTCTGTCACCCGGCACTTGGCGCTTTCCACAAGCCCCCGCCGGGAGCCCCAGCCGCTGCCTCAAACCGCGTCAAAGGACCGGAAAAAGGCCGCGGGGCTCCAGCCTCACCCGGGTGGTCGAAGTTGTACTGGCCCTTGAGCGCCTTGGCCTTCTGCTCGGCCGTCAGCACCTTGTAGAAGCTGTCCTGGCTGAGGATCAGCACCTTCCGCTGCCGCCGCTCCACCTCGTTCTGCCCCAGCAGCTCCATGATCTTCTCGCACACTGTGGACTGAGCGGGGG